TACAACGAGGATGGCTGTAAAGCCGGATGAGTCCGGAAGATGCTCGATGAAATCCATGGATATAGAATTCCAAGGCTTTTCCGGTATGGGAAGCTGCTTAAGCAATCCGTAGGGTTTGTGTCTCGGAACCTTAGCTTGGCCACAGGAAGTGCAGGACTTGACATAGTCCTTGACATAGGTGTGGATTCCTGGCCAAGTGTACTCGCGTCGGATAAGGTCTAACGTCCGATTCTGTCCGAAGTGTCCGGACAACGGATGATCATGAGTATTCTGGAGGACGCGAAGACGGAGGTTATTAGATTCCGGAACATATATACGGTTGTCGCAGCGGAGGAAACCACTATCATCTACCGTCCATCTCGGACCCGAAGGTTCCAGAAGATGTTCGGATGCGATAGGGTCGGTGGGAAGTGCGGTCAGGATGTCTTTCCGGAGCTGGTCGATATCAATCAGAACGGCTGCCCTAAGAACCGGAGTTACTAGAGTTGAAGCTCGAAGGGACGAAGCTAACTGTTCCGAAGTGAATACCGGACGGAAATTATGAGGATTGACTCGAGCGTAGTCCTTATCCCCCTCTTTGGGGTAGACGTCCCAGCGTCTAGTAAGGGAATCCGGTTTAGCTCCGAGCTTTCCGGGACGGAAACGGATGACGAGGTTAAACTGATGGAGGAATTCCGACCAGCGGGCCTGACGGCGAGAGAGGAGTTTTGTGGTAGAGAAATACTCAAGGTTCTTATGGTCCGTGACAATGTCTATCGGCTCGGCAGAGCCTTCAAGGTAATGTTGCCACGTCCGAAAAGCTTCATGGATGGCTAGAAGTTCCTTATCGTGAGTATCGTAGTTGAGTTCCGGAGCGGTAAGCGTCCGAGAATAAAATGCTACCGGACGAAGCTCTGAGTCCGGACATACTATGGAAAGTATTCCGGCTATAGCGTAGTCAGAGGCGTCGGTTTCTACGACTATCGGAACATTCGGAATCCAGTGCGTAAGCACCGGAGCGGACGTGAAAGCTTTCTTGAGTGTTTCAAAGGACTTCTGACAATCATCGGAAAAATCCCAAGTAACCCCCTTGCAGGTAAGACGGGTGAGCGGAACTACAATGTCCGAGTAATTGAAAATGAATCGACGATAGAAATTTGCGAATCCGAGGAAGGATTGAATATCCTTAACTTTCCGAGGTTCCGGCCAATCAATGATGGACTGGATCTTCTCGGACAACATGGTCAAGCCATCCGGAGATAGGATGTAACCAAGGTATTCAACGGATGTGGTATGGAACGCGCATTTTTCGGGTTTAGCATAGAGTCGATGTTTTTGGAGACGGAGAAGGACTTCTCGGACATGTTCCTTATGGGATGCAAGGTCTTGGGAATAGATGAGGATGTCGTCCAGATATACGATAACGCATACATCCAGCATATCAGCAAACACGCTATTGACAAAGCGTTGGAATGCAGCCGGAGCGTTAGTGAGACCTTCCGGCATCACCAACCATTCATACGAGCCATAACGCGTTCGGAACGCGGTCTTCCATTCGTCTCCGTCCGCTATCCGGACGAGATGGTAAGCGGATCGGAGGTCGATTTTGGTATAGACTTTAGCGCGGCTCGGAGAGTCTAGGAGGTCGGTAATGAGAGGTAACGGATATCGGTCTTTCTTGGTAATCTGGTTAAGTCCACGGAAATCTACACAGAGGCGAAGGGAGCCATCCTTTTTCTTGACAAACAGGACAGGAGCTCCGTGAGAAGAGGATGAGGAACGGAGGAGTCCGGAGGAAATGTTTTCATCAAGAAACTTCCGGAGGGCTGCAAGCTCAACTGCAGATAGAGAATAAATGGTTCCAAGGGGCGGACTAGTTCCTTCCTCTAACTCAATTTTGAGATCATAGGGACGATGAGGAGGAAGTTGGCTAGCTTTGCCCTTATCGAACACATCCGAGAATTCGTGATATTCCGGAGGAATTCCGGACAGGTCCGGAGGATCGGACGAAAGGGAAGCGGACCGGAGGTCTACACCGGTCGGACGAAGGTAGATGCTGAACTGTTCCGATCCTTCCAATTTGCAGGCCCGGCAAAAGGCTACCGCATTGATCAAGGAAATGTTGGGGATGGTTTTATCAGCGGAGGTTCCGGATGTAGTCGGAGGAGGTAAATCTTCCATCGGAGGATGAGGATCCGGAGACGGAAGTGACATCGGAGGTGTCAAAGGCATTCCATGAGAAGTCGTTCGGAAATCGATGCTGCCCGAAACCCAGTCAATCAACGGATTGTGTAGGGTGAGCCAGCTATATCCAAGAACGATAAAACAAGAAGAATCCAACGGAGTAACATAAAACGTATCGGAGGTAACTACACTGGACGGAAAACGGATAGGCAAATCTATAGCTTCGGAAATCATATTATTACAAGTACCATCAAACAAACAGAGAGAAAGCGGAGATATCGGATATGTAGGAATTTTGTTTTTTCGGACGAAATCAGAGTCTATAAAACAGTGAGAGGAACCACAATCAATTAGTGAAGGAAAATCAGAAATATCAGGAAAAGTAGGAATAGAAACGTATGGACAAAGAGAGTTCGGATCGGAAAGAGAAACAGCATTGAGACGTAGCTCCGTTGCACGGGTAGAGTCAACGCAACCCTCATCCCGTGCGGAGTCAGGAGGGTTGCGGACTATTTTTTTGCTTCATCTGAAGCCTCCGGTTTGTCTTCCAGAGTTACTACTGCAGCACGGCCTTTGGCAGCGCACGAAGTAGACTTGGTGCATTCCCGAGCTGAATGGCCAGGTCCGCCGCAGAATAGACAGAGTTTATTATCCATCCGTCTCTTACGTTCTTCGGACGTGAGCTTTCCATCCTTTCCTAACTTGGAGGTAAGGTCCGGAGGTTTAGAAATGGAGGATGATGCAGAAGTAGCGGGTTTGTCGGATTTGTACCTCGAAGGTCCGGACGAGTTGGAACTCGTCCGATCGGACGTGGTTTGCTTAGGAGGAGTGGAGGTGGTGGGTTTAGTTTCGCGGGCGACTTCTCCCTTCCGTTCCCAGTATCGAGCGTCGATAGTCTGGGCAAGGATCTTGTATTTGGAAAGGGTGGAAGGTTTACCCATGCGACTGATTTCGTCTTTGATACGAGCCGGAAGTCCATTATAGAATTGGCGTCTTAGGGCACCGTCACCCCAGCCACGGACTTGTGAAGCAAGACGCTGAAATTCAACAACATATTTATTAATGTGTTGTCCATCACGCATATGAAGTTGCTCCAATTGCATTTCCACGTCTCCGGATGGATCGTGCGGTCCGAAATTGGTTTGGAGTTCAAGCATGAACACGGAGTAATCATCCATCCAATCCGGACGATCATCGTCCTCGTCGGCTAGGAGATCCGGTTCGAACCACTCGAGTGCCATACCCTTAAGGTAGGATTGGGCGAAGTTGACTTTTGCCCGTCCGGAACGGAAGGCTTTGGGTTTGCTTTGGAAGTGAAGCTCGCATTGGACGAAGAATGCACGAAGCTTCCGAGGCTCAGTGCCATCAAAAGTATCGGGCTCACGGATCTTGACTTTAGAATCTTCGGACGAGGCCGGACGACGATTGTTGCGTGCGAGGTTGTCGATGGCTTGAGAAAGCCGAAGCATGACACGGTCTTGTGGGTTTAACCCGTCAAATTCATCGTCGTTGTCATCCGGTTCATCATCCGGATCACCTCCGAAGTCATCCGGAGGGTTTCCACTGGGAGTATCTTCATCGTCCGGAGGTCCTTCGTCATCCAGATCACCTCTGGCAGGAGTGCGCGTAGGGGTTTCCGGATGCGGACAATTCATGAGTTGCGAAATACTTTGAGCAGGACCGCGTGATACACGGCGCTGAGAGAAACTGGTGAAGGCGTTGACTACGGATGTCGGATCGCGTCGGGTGGACGAAAGTCCGACAGCGTGCAAAGCGGCTTGGTTTACTTTAGTAGGAGCCATGATATGAGTAAGTGTACTTGGAAAGGTGTGAGTTCGAATATACTGTTAAGGTCGTGCTCTCGTAGGATTGGATCCGAAGGACTTCGGCCTCAGCTCGTATGCTGTGCCCCTTTCCCAAGTACTGTCCCTTATTTCAAAGTACTAATGATAACGCGTCCGAAGGTCCAGACGGGTCTCGTAGTATATCCGGATGTCTTCCGGATATCGGAAACATATATAAGACTAATCCGGATGTATCCGAACTAGAAACTAACAGAGTAAGACTACCCGAAGGTAGAGCCGAGGATATAGACTATCGGAATCTATCCGAAGTCTCGGAGGGTGACAAGAGTAAGAAGGACTCAAGTCCGGAGGACAGAAAGAGGACAAACTAAGATGATATTCGAACTGAGGTACTACAGGACATATACACGAGTTTATATACTATGAGGATAACGGAAGTATCAGTAAGCAAAGGTCCGAGGCTATGTATGAAGCATGTGCAAAGGTTATCAAACGCGGGTCGGAAATGAGACATAGGTTAACGGATCAGTAATCATACCGGTAATAAGTATAACCAAAACACCGGGAAGAGGAAATACCGAATAGGCTGTGTTTAATGTTATATGAACAGGAAATGAATTAGAAAGCTTATCGTAAATCGGATCGGAAGCGGATCTATACATTGGACCGGATCAGATCTCAGGGTCCGAAGTCCGGAAGAGAAGCGTGAATATATGGGATATGACAACATCTCTGTGCCGTCTGGTGAGTTGTGGTTAGTACTAGTAGTCATGTCAAATATCAGTGTAGCGCTAAAGCTCACCGTGCAACCCTCAACAACTTTTTGCAAATCCTTGGGATAATGCCAGCGTGTTTCGTACCTTCGTGAAAATTGACCAGGAGTGTCAAGTATGTGTTGAACACTGCTGCATACTGTTCCTTGTAAAATTTCGTTTCAGTCCTTGTCCCGGTGGACCATTCCATGACACAGGCCTCGACCTAAACATCATTCAAATGGTTCTTGTTAGCTCCGAATCTTATCTGAATCGTTACTCACAGCTGAAGGATTGCCATGATGATGCCAAAGCTGATGCCGCCAGTGCTCGCATCCATGAAATAGGCAGGGAACTTGACCCCAAGTGAGTTCTTCTTCTTGTAGCACCATTTAATCATGCCCTTTTGAATAATATTGGCCTCCTTCCGATCCTATAGCTAGCCATTAGTATGATGTTGACCTCCAACGATGTACCTTACCTTGTAAGTGAAACTTTTACGATTTTCGAGGAGTGACTTTACCAGCGCTACATTGCAAGACGTGGCTTCAGGTGTCTTTTCGTCAGTGAAGCCAAACTCTGCCACAACTAGAGGCTGCATGACAGTTTTAAGCTCGCTCCGCAGATTGGAACCTCGTAAAGTTATCTAATAGTAGCAGGTGACTGGTCAGTATGACATACACCATAGGCATTAGACCGTACCAATTTGTAAGTGTCTTCATCATAATCAATCTTCACTCCATTTGCCCGACAGGATGCAGCCCATGCTTCGCCTGACCAGTTGCGACTCTCAACGTCACCTGGATAGATTGTTGAGTTTGCGAGAATGGCTTGGTAGTGTCCGACTGCAAGATGTATGATGGATGAGTAGAGCCTATCAAAGTCAGCATATCGAACACGGCCGCGACTCCCGCCATTACCAATTTTGACCTTCTGGACCACCTGAAGGCCATCTACCTTTGTAAGGGGTGGAGCCAAGCGCTTCACACCCCTGAGAGCCAATGACTCAAATGGCTATGTTTGATTTATCAGTCGAATCCCTAGTCAGATAATGGCCATTCACCTGTTGTGCCTCTGTAGACTCAATTGAACTTGAAGATACTTCAGCCATCAAGCTCTGTCGCACTCCTCTGAACGGAGTTGGAGTATTATGTGTGACTAGGCCACACGGCCCTGCTGTTGCAAAGCGCTGTTCAAATCTCGTTTGTTGAACATATTTACTTGATGTTTCATTGCGAGAACTTTCCTGCATGGCACACATTAGTTTCATTGTTGCTGAGCTGAGCTGAAATACTAACCATATGTGTTACAGTCACTACGTGAGCCCCCAGCTACTCGACCAGCCCTCTGCCACCTCGCACGGCAATGACACGATAACCAGGCCTTTAGGCCTTGATGACAGATAGAAGAGAAAGCCTGGAAGATGCCGGCTTAGATAAGTGGTCTGGACCGCTATGACGAACATATGACGACATAGGTCTAGAAGACCTATTTATGTTATCAAGATAGAAGCCTGCCTCATGCATGGTATCTCTGACTCGATAGATAAGCAGATTAGAACCCAGCTTCAAGCTGAGCTTAGATACGATAGAGTAGCCTTATATAAGGTCGACAATTAAAGTAGATGTTCCTTACTTTAATCCTACTGGGTTTTGCCTCGAAACCTTTGTCTTGCTAAAGCTACCTGCTTGACATCAGATCCGTACCTTCAGAAGGACTTGAAGCCCCTTCTGCCTGTAACTGCTATCATTGCTCGCCTCCACGAGCATACGCAACTCTTACTTATCTGTAGGAGCCGACCTTCGGACTCTCAGCATGTGGTATCACTGTCATGATCGTCGCTGTTAGATCATCCCAGTTCGCACACGACTTAACATCGTAACAAAGGATTAAAGTCCCCTTATCGTACGCCTCCATCACAGGCTACAAGATAACTGATCGCACTTGCTGTCAAAGTTACCGACACTCGTAGAACCCCGAACCCAGATCCCGAAAGGATTTCCATATCCCTGATCTAGAACCCTGATCGTACCGGCCTGACCAGTCGCAAGAATATAAGAACCGCTGTCACTGTGGAAAGCTCCAAGAAAAGGATACCACGAAGATTGTAGAAACCATCTCCAATATGGCAACTACCAGAAACACCTTCGCCGCTGTGCATCTCAACGGGAAGGAGACTCGCCTCTGTCTGCGAGAGAAGAAATGTTTTGTGTGCCACGTCATCGGACACAAAGCCGCGAGCTGTCCTCAATGGACCCGAACCTCACGGAGAAAGATGATCGAAGAAGAACCCCGCTTGCACACTATCAAGGTGGCCGGGGCTAAGGATGATATACGGGTGAACGCCACCCTGATTTCCAGAACAAGAAGTACCCCCATCACGACATCTATGATCGTAGATTCTGGGGCGTGTCAGTCCTTCGTCAACCAGGACGTGATCACGCAGCACCACATCTTGACGCACCAGCTAGAGAACCCCCTGACACTCTCGAACGCTGACGGATCCTGCTTTGGAAAGAAGCCAATAGAAAGGTTTTGCAACCTTACTTTCCAGATCGATGAACGGGTAATTTCCGAACGGTTTTACCTAGCCGAACTTGGTCCGAAAGACAAGTTCCTGCTTGGACGACCTTGGCTTATCAGCCAGAACCCCCTGATCAATTGGAAAACCGGCGTGGTAACCCTCAAGAGTACCGCAGATTCCCGAAAGAAGCAGAAAGAAATAGATTCTGATCGGAAGAAGAATGGCAAGACGCCCCTCTTCCTGAAAGAAGATAAGAAGGTAGCATTGAAGAGAAAACGATCGGTATCCCCGACTACTCCCCGCACCTTCTCTTCGGGCTCTGTACCATCAGCCCGAATGACACAGAATGCACCGGTCCATGAAAAACCGCAGAACGGAACCCCCGTTGAACCTTCAGAAACTGCACCACAGCCCGCGAAAACTGTGACAAAGAAAGACTCGCTGCCTAGAATTGACCTTGCAGTGAAAAGATATGAACAGAAGAAACCGGCCACTGACCTGGAGACAACTCAGAAAAAGACTTCCAGACCGGCGCTGATATCTGACCACATTTATCCTGAACCGCCGTGAACAAAGAAGATTGTACCAGCTGTTCAGCCGATGAAAGTTGAAGAAAATCCCGCACCTGCCCGATATGAATTCTCGGCAGAGCCTGCACAAGTCCTTGGGAAGGGACGTGCAATAATGAACGAAGAACCGCCTGTATCCAAGGCACCTAGACTGGCCGCTGAACCAGAAATAACTCAGAGATTCGAATTCTCCGGAGAACCAATATCTGTTCTCGGAAAAGGACGAGCAGTCTGAATCGAAGAACCTCCCACTGCCAAGAAGCTCAAGTACTATGAAAGTCCTGAGTCTGCAATGGAAGAAGAAGAAACAGAACCGGCGTATATAACCGCCGATGAACCGCCGAATTCCCTCAACCTCTCCATGACACCTGTGCATAATTCCGAAGAAGCAATGGTGCTGTCTTCAGATACTGAACTCCCTCCTGCGTTACAAGAAACCCAGGATATTTTCATCGAACGAATCACTTTGATCCATGAAGCATATCGTCAAAATGAAATAGAAAAAGAAGCACAAGACGCCGGGCCCAGTTTTGTCCGATTTATCGACATGGACAACTCCGAGAATGATGAGAATAACGACAATGATGCACCCTCTTCGCATGATCTGCGAATGGTAGATTCAGAAGGACACGACTTCGAAGACGACGGCCCGCTCCCGGGCCTAGATTTCTGATTGAGTATGATTAGTCGGTGACTAATGTCTTAGTAAGGGGGTGAAATCCCTACTTACTTTTATCTTCCATCCACGCCTACTTCAATCTCGAACACTGATCACCGATCCCGAACTCGACCTACTTCTGAAGGTCCGTAATGACCCTAAACTAGATATAGTCCGGAAAGACTCTAAACTACGATTGTCCGTAATGACATAAAACTAGACGATGAACAAGGACGAACCCCGGAAAACTCCTGCAAGCTTCGGGACCCCTCACATCACTGCACTTTGACCACCTGAGTAGACCATATATAAACAAAGGGTAATAGAAGACGATCTCCCTGCTGGATGACCCCAAGAAACTCCTGCAAGCCTTGACACCCACGCTCGGACCCCCAACCTCCGGAACGAGGCTAAACTATCACGAGACGAACTCCACGGAAACTCCTGCAAGCCCCTGGAATCCTCTAGAACCTATTATGGCACTCTCCCTCTGATAGTGAAGAAGAATCTCGAACACGAGTTAGCCTCATGGCTAGATAAGACGATAAGAGATAAACGATAAAGATAAGTTTAGAATGAATCGGAGCTTGGATTGATCTGGAAGAAGGTTATAAACCCTCTCGATCCCTGAACATCTCTCCCAACGAACCTCCATCATCATCATGACAAACTCCATCGACAACGACTCTATCAAAATGGCACTGAAGGACTCAGACTACGGATTAGTCCTCAGAATGACGGAAAACAGCGCGTTCAATGAAGCTGCTATCCTGACCCCCGCGTACTCCCAAGCGATCGACGAAATCCTTGGTGATCAAGACGCCAGAACTGCAGCGTGTACATCCCTCACCGTCTGCATTATACGAACCACGAAGCTGCTGGAAGATGTAGCCAATCGTATTGACCTTGATGAAGCAACTCGGAAACTTGCTATACTTCATCTGCAATGGCGGATCAGAAACTTCGCACTTCACTTACTCCCCCTCGACTTCTCCAATATCACCGATCTAGCGATAAAGAAAGTTGAAGTGAAGCCACTTGTAGAAGAACCCCGCCCGGTACGCCCGCTGAGAAGAAAGGCGGCTACCATAGATCGAACCCACACCACGCTCTGCAAGTGCTGCGGAGGATATGGACATCAGTTCAGAAAATGTCCAGATTATGTTTGTTGCATCTGCGATGAACTCGGACCTGACCATCTGTCTGTCCACTGCCCACGACTTGAAGGATGCATTGTGCTCCAAGAGTTTAGTGATGAAGAGAAGTTTTTTGAAGCTCTCTTAGATTGGGAGCATAACCACAAGGCACTCGCGGATCTAGAACTTTGGCATCCCACCGAACTTTCCCCTGTCCCTGAAACTCCCTCAGTACCTTCCGTCTCCACGTCAGCAATTCCCGCACCACCTACTGCTACGATGGAAGAAGATGTTTAGAAATCAAAGTCGGTGACTTTGTGCGTAGTAATGGGGTAATGTTACAGTCACTACGTGAGCCCCCAGCTACTCGACCAGCCCTCTGCCACCTCGCATGGCAATGACACGATAACCAGGCCTTTAGGCCTTGATGACAGATAGAAGAGAAAGCCTGGAAGATGCCGGCTTAGATAAGTGGTCTGGACCGCTATGACGAACATATGACGACATAGGTCTAGAAGACCTATTTATGTTATCAAGATAGAAGCCTGCCTCATGCATGGTATCTCTGACTCGATAGATAAGCAGATTAGAACCCAGCTTCAAGCTGAGCTTAGATACGATAGAGTAGCCTTATATAAGGTCGACAATTAAAGTAGATGTTCCTTACTTTAATCCTACTGGGTTTTGCCTCGAAACCTTTGTCTTGCTAAAGCTACCTGCTTGACATCAGATCCGTACCTTCAGAAGGACTTGAAGCCCCTTCTGCCTGTAACTGCTATCATTGCTCGCCTCCACGAGCATACGCAACTCTTACTTATCTGTAGGAGCCGACCTTCGGACTCTCAGCACGTGGTATCACTGTCGTGATTGTCGCTGTTAGATCATCCCAGTTCGCACACGACTTAACGTCGTAACAATATGTAAGCCTATCTGCTCCTCCGAGTCACCTGCAAGCAACTGAGGATCGATCACTGGTGGTGGCTGGGCCTGAGGCACCACAGGTGTGTTCAAATATGCCGAAGGGACACTGGGGGGGATATGATTCGTCCATGGAGTCAGTCTAGGTGGGACATATGAGACCTGGTTTTCTTGCTCTGTGTGTCCCACAGACTTTCTGGTAGATGGCATAGTGTAAGTATGAGTGCAGGACTGATTTGTCATACCACAAAGAGGCACTGGTGTAAATGTGAACTGTCAAGGAGGCATATCAATGAAAATTTCAACTGCGAACTTGTAGACTTACAGAATCTGTTGCCAATGACTCATCATTGCCATTGGTAATGTCATCCTCCTCTTCGGACTCAGGCCCATCCAGAGGCATGAAGTCATTGACCTCTTCGAGAACCTGTCTTTGGCGGAGACCTAGAGTTGCATACTTTTGAGTCTTCCTAGCATCTTGCGCATATGCTTCGTCCTCTGCAAGGTGTCATCATAAGTTCTCAGTGCCAATAGAGCCAGTTGAAGTAAACTGACCTTGGGCCTTTTTCTTGGAAGTGCTCCGATGGTGATGTTGTGCACGCATTGTCATATCACTGACTGACTGTGTGGAGTCTGAAATGGTGGTTGAAGGCAAAAAAAAATCACTCCGATCCTGCCCGAGATATGCACAGACTGGGAAGTCAGACCTGTCAACAAAAATTTAAACACATGCTAAAGATATAACATACCTTTTGAACGTCCGAAACAGAAGCTTGAGTCTAATTCCCCAATAATGCCAGCTTGCACAGATTGTGGTCACTGGCTCCCTACGCCATCAGGGCTAAATAAGCACATCGCTATTTCACGTACCTGTCGACAGAAATGGCAGGATCGCCTCAAAAACTTCAGCATCAACATGTTCGACCTTGGTGGTGGATTTGCAGCACCAGTCGAGGAAGATCTGCACGATGCAGCACCACCAGCAGTTGAGGATGACATAACTGAAGGAAATCAGCATGATGAACATAATTTCTCGCACTCACCTCCACATCCAGGTCCATTCGAGGCCAATCAAGACCATATGCAACCTCCAAATAGACGCAGTGTTGAGATTGAAGAGGTCACAGATGACCCTGGTCTTGTCCGTAATGCGACATGTTGGGTTGAAGAGTACCCTGATGAGATGTTAGCTGGTGCACCATGTGGCACATCTGAAGAGATCATGCCCACAAAGTTTGATGCCATAAAGGCTAACCAAGAGGCCAATGGCGAGAGTGTTTGGGGCCCTTTCGACAATGAGGAGGAATGGGATTTGGCCTGGTGGTTGATTCAGAAGGTTGGTCAAAACCAAACAGATGAATTTCTAAAGCTTCCCATTGTAAGGCTCGTGTCTCAAATATAATAATCATCAAACTCACATTTGTGCACTGGCAGGTTCATAATTGTGCCAAGGTTTCATACCCCAATAATCGTTCCTTCTTGAAAAAAATTGACGCACTGCCTACGAAAGGGCCTGAATGGCACTGTGACCTTATTAAGGTGGCGGGAGACATTGTTGCCCAAGACAGAGAGATGTCATCAGCCGAGTTAGAACTCTGGCAGCGCAACCCAGTGGACTGTATACGCGAACTCATTGGAAATCCCACATTCAAAGAAATGATTGCTTACGCACCTGAGCATGCATTTGAGGACAGGGGGGGTAATAGCCGTGTTTACGATGAGATGTGGTCAGGGGACTGGTGGTGGGACATGCAGGTTAGAGACAACAGGATAGAAGTTGTTGTGTGACATACTAATGTTCATTGGTCTTGTGGCAGGGCAAGCTGCCGAAAGGAGCGGCAATAGCACCAGTGATCCTCGCATCTGATAAAACAAGCCTCTCACAGTTTTTGGGAGACAAATCAGCATGGCCAGTGTATCTGACCATCGGGAATATTGAAAAGGCCACACGTCGTCGTCCACGGATGCATGGAGCCATTTTGCTTGGTTACCTCCCAGCAACGAAGCTTGACTGCTTTAGCAAAGGGACCCGGTCTGTCACAGGGTATCGGCTGTTTCACGAATGTATGCAGAGGATTCTGCAGCCCCTAATCGAAGCAGGCAAACATGGTGTAGAGATGGTATGTGCTGATGGGAGGGTTCGTCGAGTGCACCCGATCCTTGCAGCCTATGTTGCTGACCATCCTGAACAATGTCTCATTACCTGCACAAAAGAGAGTTTCTGTCCGAAATGTCATGTTCACCGAGACAACCGTGGTGAACTTCTTGCATCACTCCTACGAGACGAAGACCGCACCTTGACTATGTTAGAACATAAACGAACAGGTCGTAGGGTGGCTGCCTACACACGCGAGGGGTTGCGCCCTGTGTATCGCCCATTCTGGGCAGATCTTCCTTATTCCAACATCTTTGCTGCCATCACAGCCAAGTGCAGGTGACACACCTTTATCTCATATCCTGGCAGCTCGTCCTCCATTTCGAGCTCTGACTGTTGATTCTATTGCCTAGACGTTTGGGGCAGTTAATTTCTTTACAGCTCTGTCACAATACCTCATCCAAACCACACCCCGAATTCCACCACCTTCACAACCACAATTGTCAGTCTCCCATTGGGATCGCTTTGATGCTTACCGTCGTCTGTCAATCCCTTATCCACACTTGCATGCCGTCCATATGTCGAAATCCATGGACCGCATCCGTGCAGTGCCTTACACCCCACCTTCTGGTCGGTCAGCAGGGTCGCCAGGGCAATTTGATACAGTCCTCGTGCAAAGAGAAGGCAATACTAATGTACATACTCGAGGGACTGCATTGGAAGGTGAGTAGGTTCAAACTTTATAGTTTTGCATTGATATGGAGACTGTCATAGGTCTTCAAGTGGCACAAGTCTGCCTGATATTCAACTTACCAATTCACCTGCGCACTGCTGGACAGCCTTTCCACCTTGCACTCATTGAATGGTTCAATCCATTCCGCACACGCAATGCATTGTTGGAGCTTCACACAGTCTCACGTTCATATGCTGGTCAAGCACCTCGCACTGAGGTGATCCCCATCAGTCAAATTGCTGGGAGTTGTCATCTTATACCCAAGTTCGGCACACATGTCAACCAAACGTGGAGGTGGGATTTCATATTGGACGCATGTAAATCATTCTACCTTAACCCTTGGATTGACATGTATAGCTTCTACAAATTTCGAACTGCCTGATATAATAACGGTACGAGTTACACTAGTTTTGTAATTCCATGCACAGCAAGCTGTACTTCTAATAATTGTGCTTTGCGACCCTCCTCGCAACACCTTACTTCGGCGTCCCAACGCTCGGCAACAAGTCTATGCATGTAATTTTGAGATACCACAAGAGGGGCCAGAGTTTGCCTGTAGGGAGGTGCAGGTGTCTTGGGAGTCTCAGAACCTGGCACAGCGTGGGGAGAGTCGAGGGTCTGCTGAATGTCAGCCAGAGCAGCTGCGATGCCATTGAAAAGCAGAGGCTGATCGGAATTGGAAGAGTTTTGCAGGCGCCTTTGGACTTCCTCCAGTGGGATCTGCCGGACAAGCCTTTTGGGCCTGCGCAATGGTTGTACTGTGTTAGTGGGGGCAGCAACTACATTGTGCCATGAATATCACACCTTTTAACGTCCGAGCCCTCTGGTGTCTTTCCACTAATCTCGGGGGACTGCGAGCGAAGACTACACAATATGTCAGACTTTGGTGAGGTGCACTATGGAGGTTTTGGTGGTCCTTACCGCTTGTTGCGCAGTGGCGCCAAATTTTCCTGATCTGAGTGCGGTTGCATTGTCACAGTTAGGCTGAAAGTGAGATGTTACTATTAGTAGTGATGCAGAAGTACTAGTATTGCGCAAGCACGGCATACCTCTAAGTAGTCCAAGTCGCGAACCAGACAATGTATAAGGATTGATGTTGGGATTGCAAGAAAATGTTCGGAGGTAGTAACGAGTCTGTTTGATTGTTTTGCATGCATTGGTGTCTAGGAGACCTACAAGGTGCCTACAAAATATGAGTTGCCTAGTTTGCCTATGTAGGTATATTTAGGTGAGACCTGCCTACGTGAATTTCACATTTTCCTGATGAGGAGGGGATTTTCTGGCCCAGGACTTGTCGAGAAAGTAGTATTAATGAGTGAGTAAAGGTAAAGCAGGTGTTTGTGTGGGTACAGAACATCACTAGGGCGTAAAGAAGGTCCAATAGAGTCTGATAACGAGTAACAACTTTCTTATAAATGACTAGAAAATATACTTGGTGAGTGGTGATTGAGGTCTTGACTCGCTCTGCCGACATGTACCTCATTTCCTTTAGATCCGGGAGCCAAACTGTTTCAGAATAGGAAGAATTGTGTTATTAAAGTTAGGAATGGAGCAGGGTTGCAGGGGTGAGCTTTGGTGTTAATAGCGGACAACAAAAACGAACGGAGAACTGAACCACTTTGTTTTGTTTGAAGGGAAATTCAGTTTTTGAGTACTTACATACTTGAACATGAGACTGAACTTGCCTACCAAACTAGTGTCTAGTAGTTCGACTCAGAAAATCAGTTCAAGACAAATGACTAAAATAACGAACCTTTGCCATGGTAGAGAACATTGAAGGGAAAAGAGGCTGAAGAGCGGCTATGTCGCAGTATGCATAATCAAACAGCGAGTCAGTGGTCTCCTGCAGGGAATTGGCAGGACATGCACTCTGAGACTGGCAATGCCGTGAGGGCCGTGAGGCCAAATGCTTGACTGCTTCCGAGTCCTTGATGGAACACCTACTAAAAGCGAAAAATCTGACATGAGGTATAATGGTTCATCACGAAGAAAATAAAAGAGAAAACAGACCAAAAGCCAATAGTTTGATTTGTGTCTTAAATGTGCAATGTAGAGCACTCGAAACTTGATCAGCTGTTGCCAGTGGGATATAACTGCATGTCCAATGGGTTCTGTTGAGGTATACGAGCCGTCCATGTACCATCCTGAGGACAAAGACTAGCGGAGAAGAAAGTCGGAGCTTAAGTAATGTGGCGGGTAGTTCAAGTATATAGATAACCACCAGAGTGTTCCGAAAAAATAATAAGACCGCTCTGAACACCCTATCCGTGTAACGCTCATAATCTGAAAGGTTATGAGCCCTGCTTAATCGTATAACGAACCTCAAAAAGAACAATCAATTTATGCTATGCAAATACATACATATCTATAATCAAAATGACTGACCCAAATGCCAATCCTAATGTCCAGACATCTCAGTCTTCCCAGACTTCCCCACGTACGAACTTAGGATCAGTCTCATCCTATAAAATGGGAGAGCTTAAAGATGACAATTGGATGATGTGGAAGGAGAAGATCAAAACGGTCCTCCGAGTCCACAAAGTCCATGGTCATATAGATGGGACCTGTAAAAGGCCCACAGATCCTAACGAAAAGAAACAGTGGGAGAAAGACGACCAAATTGCTCGGACCATCATCCTCATCAATTTGAAGGATGAAAAAGTAGTACATGTGTCACGAGCGAAGATGGTCAAAGAAGCATGGGATAATCTGAAGACGATTCATGAGACAAGGAGTCAGTCGAGTGCGCTAATTGCAAAATGCACCTTCTATTCATTGCAAGCCGATGAAAGCTGCAATATAAAGACACACATCACCGAGATGACGAACAAACGCAATCAGCTCGACATCATGGGATGCGAGATACCTGATGCGGAGTTCAAGGCACTTCTTGTGATGTCGTTGCCGAAGTCTTGGGAGTCATGGACTGCATCCTACTTAGGCGCACACGCCGACAAGGGCGAGTCACAAAAAATAGCAGGTTATACATCCCAAGAACTTATCTCAATCATCATTGATGAATCCAACCGTCGCAAGAGCCATGATACTCAAGAAAAGGGGTATTATGCCAAAGCCGAAAAAGGGGGCAAAAAGCGAAAGGTTGAAAAGAAAGACGAAGGTCCAAAGAACCGAGCGAAGTGTAACATCTGTGGACGCAATAATCATCCTACAGATAGGTGCCGGTTCAAGAACGTGCTGAAATGTAGCTCCTGCGGGAAGTTCGGGCACGAAACCAAGGACTGCTGGGGAAAAGACGGTCCAGGTCCATCTTCGAAGAAATATAAAGGAAAGGAGCATGCGAATATGGCACGCGACGAGCAGGATGATGAACCTATGGACGAGGACAAAGCATTTGTAGTCTCTGAGAATGTAACCATGAATGAAGGCTCTGACGAGCGTGTTTCCTTTTGCTCTGGCCAATGGGTAGCCGACTCGGCAACCACGTCTCATATAACAAGCAGAAGAACTGCCTTCACTGAGTACACTTCATTACAAAAAGAAATTAGCGGAATAGGAAATATACCAGTAGAAGCGATAGGACATGGAACAGTCGAGATCACGACGAAAGTCGGAAACAAAGCTGTTCATATACTGTTGAGAGACGTTTTACATGTACCAACAGCAGGAAATAACCTACTCTCTATAAGTCGGCTTGACGAACAAGGTGGAAGAGCTATAATCAGAAATGGGCAGATTAGTTTGCTCGATGAAAAACACCGTACCATAGCCACCAGTCGACGAGAGAATAGACTGTACTTCTTGGATATGTTTTCCAAGAACTACGACGAACAAATAAATACAGCTAAAGACAAAACAACATGGGAGCAATGGCACGTCAGATATGGCCATATAGGCATAACGGGACTCAAATGCTTACTCAAAGACGAACTAGTTGATGGTCTTGAGGTTGATGAAAACTCGCCAATACCAGAGTGTGAGGCTTGTATACAAGCAAAACACTTGAGACGACCATTCCCCAAGGAATCTGAAAATAGATCAGCAGTTCCAGGAGAGATAACACACACTGACGTGTGGGGACCATCACGAACCACTGCAATAACAGGAGTTAGATATTATATAACATTCATAGATGACTGTACACAAAGGTGCACAGCCAGATTCATGAAAACAAAAGACGAGGCCAGCTCGAAGGTTCAAGAATATATTGCCTATATAGAAAGACAACGGGAAATAATCCCGAAGCGAATCAGAACTGACAATGGCAAATAGTACGTCAATAATACTTTACTCGAATGGTGCCACCAGAAAGGAATAATAGTCGAATTCATGGCACCATATTCCCCCGAACAAAACGGTGTAGCCGAGCGATTCAATAGAACACTCGTAGAACTGACACATGCAATGTTGTTAGCACGAAATTTGCCAAAAACATTATGGCCTGAGGCAGTGACTCACTCTGCATATCTCCGAAATCAAGCACATACACGTGCTCTACAGGGAACTACCCCAGACGAAAAATGGTCCGGGAAACGCCCAAACATATCACATCTACAAGAATTCGGAATATCAGTATGGGTGCTTCGAGAAGGAGAAAACATCTCCAAACTCGAACCAAAATCAGAAGAACACATATTTGTGGGCTTTTTAGATGGGCCGAAGGCAATCAAGTACTATGACAGAAACACGCACCAAATAAAAGTATCGAGAAACTATCAGTTCTTCACGCCTAATGTACAGCGTGAGGGGGAGAAGGAAAGAGTACAAGACCCGCTGCACATTAACGCAGCATCTGCAAAGAAAGACAAAGATAATCTAACATCAAAGAAAGAAATTAGCGGAAAAAGAAAGAGAGAAAATGATGTACCTGACGAGCCAAGAAGAAGCAGCAGACAAAAAGTCAAACACGATTATCGGATATTAAACGATCTGACAATAGAGCTAGAAGATATACCAGCTGAATTAGCAGCCCTCACAGAAGAAGATCTAGACGAGGAAGAGCTGATATACTCACCAGCAGAAGTGGTGTATGCTGCATTTAATGAGACTGGTGTCGCACCAGAAGATCCCAAGTCCTTAAAAGAAGCAAAAGAATCTTCCGAGTGGCCAGAATGGGAGAAAGCCGTTCACACCGAACTAGACCAATTAAAAGACAAAGGCACGTGGAAACTTGTCGATCCCCCAAAGGGACGAGTTCCAGTAGCCAACAAGTGGGTTCTAGTACGAAAATTTGACAAAGAAGGAAAGTTAGTCAAATATAAGGCGCGACTCGTAGCAAAAGGGTACTCTCAAATTCCTGGTATGGATTACATGGACACATTTTCTCTGGTCGTCTGACTCGAGACAATACGAGCAGTTTTAGCACTAGCCGTATCTCAGAACTGGGAGATTCAACAAATGGACGTAAAGGGTGCTTACCTCAATGGAATCCTTAAGGAAGAAGTGTACATGAAACAGCCTGAAGGGTTTGAAGATGAAACCGAAAGGTTGTGCCATCTAATAAAGACACTATATGGGTTAAAACAGTCAGGACGCGAATGGAATACCGAGCTAAATAAGCAGCTCAAGGCAAAAAACTTCAAGCCGCTATACTCAGATCCATGTGCATACATTCGCAAAACGAAAGGGGGGACCGAGATCATAACTGTATGGGTAGACGACTTACTGATATTCACGAGCGACAGAATATTGATGGACGAACTGAAGTGAGAGCTTCAGAATATGTTCAAAACCACTGATCTAGGAGAGCCGCACAAAATAGTCGGGATAGAGATCACGAGAGACCATGAAAACGGCACACTTATGATTTCTCAGACCAAATATATTGAGTCGATCCTGGCAAAACACGGACTTCTAGATGCAAACTCAGTGGGAATGCCGCTCGATCCATCTATGAAACTCGAACCCACCATTAAATCAACTGACAAAGGAGACAGAAGCAACAAATATGCTTCGCTTATAGGGTCGCTAATGTATGCAGCTGTTGCGACAAGACCAGACATTGCATATGCGGTGTACAGGCTTGCGTCGTATACGGCTAATCCTGACATGACACACTGGACTGCAGCGAAACGAATTTTGCGTTATCTCAAAGGGACAAAGGACCTAGGTATAACTTACAAGGCGAATGTCCCGAGAGATGACAAGGAACATTTTGTCGGATATTCTGATGCAAGCTTCGCCAATAACGATGATAAAACATCAGTTTTGGGATATGTCTTCTTGTCGAGTGGAGGTGCCATAACATGGGGATCCAAGAAACAAAACACTGTGTCGCTCTCCACGACAGAAGCAGAGTACATTTGCCTTTCAGACGCAGCAAGAGAGTCAACATGGCTCCGAAACCTGTATAAAGAACTAGGGAATGAGCAAAACGGTCCTACATTGATCTATGGGGACAATATAAGCGCATTAGCTATTGCTCAGAATCCGCAGTATCACAAACGGACGAAGCATTTCGACATAAAACATCACTATATTCGGAGCCAAGTACACAAGAGACGAATCAGTGTAGTCTACAAGCCCATGGCACAAATGATGGCCGATATTTTCACCAAGGCACTACCTAAACCCAGCCATGAGAAACATAGAACTCAACTGGGTATGTGATCCTCAGTATGAGGGGGAATGTTGAGGTATACAAGCCGTCCATGTACCATCCTGAGGACAAAGACTAGCAAAGAAGAAAGTCGGAGCTTAAGTAATGTGGCGGGTAGTTCAAGTATATAGATAACCGCCGGAGTGTTCCGAAAAAATAATAAGACCGCTCTGAACACCCTATCCATGTAACGCTCGTAATCTGAAAGGTTCCGATGAGACCGAGAGTTGCAAAAATCCTGGAATTCGTCTGTTGCCTGATATACCATTATATTGGCATATCAAGCGCTGCATGGAAGGAGAATGTGGTCCGAAAACGATATTATCACGTGCACTTGATAATCCAATACACTGGTATTGGGGAGAGGCAACTCTCTGCCAATTTCAAACTCAGTGTGTGCCCTCGCTAAAGGGGTGTGTGGCTGAAATGGTGGTTAATGAAACTGTTGACCGCTGGACATTAAGCACAACATTATGAAGACTACATTGTATGGAGACTACTGCGAAATATAAAGCTGATTGTATTCTCCATGCAAAAAAGGGAAAACACGCGAATCGTAAGGCTACAGTGTTTGGCAAAAGCTCATGCAACCAACTTTTTCAAAAATTTTCATGGAGATTACAACTAAATCATGAAAAAAGGCCTCTGATGGCTTTTCTCAACCCCCCAGCATATCGTGTTCAGTCACAACAGGGATGTCACAGGTAGTAGACTCATATTGTATTACATAAGCCTCATAAACGCGTCGCGTGCCCCTCGTATGTCTCTGTCACAATTCAATGCACGACTTCAATATAAGAAAAATCAAACTGGTACCTACATCAAGACATTTCTCGGACACCGTCAGCGCAAGTATCTTCGTGGGAAGGCACGGGAATTGGACTCGAATGGAGGCGAGAGAAAACAGAGGAGGGCACAAGTGGAGTATGACCGAAAGCTGATTGAAAAGAACCACGAGATTGACAAGCGGAGGAAGGAATGGAGGGACGCCGCCACTGCAAAGCTCAATGCCATTGTGCCTTGTCTTGTGGATGCAGACTTGGCCAAGATGCGTGTTGCTGACATTGTTCTACAGCTTCGTTGGCATCATGAGTTTGACTTACATGTACCACGAAACAAAGACATGCCAAAGCGGAAGGAGGACAAATTGAAGGTCCTGAGGGAAGCTATCGCACGTTACACGAGTGGGGAGGTTACACACCGAGAAACCACACAGGAGGTTCCTTTGGAGACAGGCGAGAGTGAAGATGAGGACAAGCCTTGAATTTTTTGAGTAGAATAAGCTTACTAATTACTTTGACTTACTATAATATTCTACAGCTGTTTTGGTGTTGTACGGGCGTTGTAGTTCAATATAAGTTATAATGTTCGAACGGTCGTGTCGTTTGACCGCATTTCTTGCTTACATAATGCCACACTTTATTTGGCTGAGTTGCCGCTCCCCACTGGTACTATCGGTTACCACAACTTCGGTCAACCACTGGTTCGGACACTTTTCAATATCTCACTCAACTTTACTTCAATTCATATTCTGTCTGACCACATATCACTGTACACTTATAATACACTACTGCAAAGTTGAATAATTGAAATTGGTCGAGAAATGATTGAGATCCTTGTTCAGGTGTGACAGAGCCAAAGATCACGTCTGCTTGTCACCAAGCCGAGTCTGCCGTAGCGGAGTTTCAGATCTGCCGAACTACTCACCATTGATAGGATCTTGGACAGGGCATGGGGCGCGCTCAGGGCAAGGGTGCCCACACTCCAACTCCAAGCAAAACAATCCAGCACAAGTCGCGGATTCAAGAAGCCCTTGCTGGAGTCCAAGGAGGGACGTATAAGAGCTATAGGGCAGCAGCAAAGGCTCACCAGGTGAGTCTGGGATAATCTGTGCTTCGATGAACATTTAATAAGACCTCACATCTTTTATTTAGGTTTCTTTCCAGACTCTACATGATCGTGCAACCGGGCGCCACCAATCAATTCAAAAATATCATCCACACTTGTCAGCTAATATCATGTCCCATGGATCTTACACACCAGCGGCACCACCCACCCACCCTTTTGCAGCACCTTCTTTTGTACCACACTGTCCCAGTCATCTACATAGTTCCTACAGCCCCTCATAAATTTGTACCGCTTTATAATGCACCTTCAATAAAACGTTTGAATTGTTTAACTTTCAGTTAGAGTAACGAACGCTACGACTCGGCCTGTGCACTTGAAGGCGCTGATACTGAATGCCGAGCGGAGCTTGTTTCGGCGGATGTGACCTTGTGTTACTATCGTGTTACATTGTGTGACTGTCCGAACCAGTGGTTGACCGAAGTTGTGGTAACCGATAGTATGTCAGGGTATATCATGGCCAAACAAAATTGGCTGAAAGGGTAATATAACTCGACTCATATAAGGCTAAGTGAATTTCAGTGATGTGCGCACTACTGGACATATCGGTATTCCAACCTACGATTCGCCCTTCGGATCGTGACGTGACGAGCCCGCATTTTGTTTGACAGTCAATTCTTCGATGTTTACAGTATGATGAGTGTCAACGATTGCGATCATAATTCAGGAGATCTTCTAAGCGATAACTCTAGCCATGCATATCGGTTATTCATACAATCTTTTCTTCCCAGTTGTCTATGGAACGCGGATAACGAATGCGCTCGTAGTAAGCCTTAAACGCAAGTTCGGCATCATCTAGGAAGGTCTTCAGCAATCTGCAGTGTTCTTCGCATAAACCTTCCTTCTCCTCTGCTGTCACATGGAATTCTTTGTCTGGACAGGTAGATTTCAATTGCGCTGCAACCTTTTTTCTCCAGAGATTCCAAACCCTTGTCTTGTTCGGCACGAACAACGATAACATACGCTCCGCGTCAAAGTCTTCGTTTGTCTCGTTTCCATCGCTGAGAATAGAGCAGGCGAAAACAGCTTGGCTCCTCCTATTATGGAGGCAATACTTCTGTATCGCGCGTCCTTCAACCTGCAGCGCCTTGCAAAGCAGGTCTCCTTGTATCTTTTCGCTCTCAAGTGAAGAGAGGAACGAGTTGTAGACCCAAGATGCCGCACACGAGGCGAGAAACATCATTTGACCGAAGAGTGTTGCTTGGGGTATCAAGAGGAGCTGTAGCAAGAATTGTGCTAGTAGAAGGAGTGAACACAGTCCAACGCTCCGGTACTCTCGTCCACCATGCATGTTCAGCAAGAAATGACCCTTCGTTATTACATTCACATCTTTCTCTGACCCTATCAGAACGACGACATCGCGCGGAGTCAGAAGCAGACCATCCCCTGGGGGGACCCCCGGGGTCACAGTTTTGGGTCCCCGGAGATGGAGCCTCGCAGTACCGATCACGAAGCAGGTTATGCCACTTGAAACGATCCCGAGAAGGATGAGGCTGAAGGCATACCAGTCGGCAAAGACAGCACATGAGAAGCATGTCATGATGCTGATGGTTATGGGTATTGTAGCTAGTAGTGCGTGATGGGTGCTCATCATCCCCACTTCATCCATATCCATGACCTCTCCGACACGGACGACGGTCACTGATGCAGGTAATGTCTCCGTGCTGGCTTTTCCCTGAACTGCCATATCTTCCACCTCCTTGCTCATCTGTATTGTGAGGTATCCAAGGTGCCCCGTCGTCATATCTGTACCAGACAGCGAAGCGACGTATCGCGGCCCAGCCTTGCCATCCAGGCCAAACGTTTCAGCTGGTTCGGAATTTGGACCTGGGAATAATCCATCCCAAAATCGGGAGTTAGCTAACTGGCCGTATCTTTTGGCGACCGTATAGCTCCCTGGAGAGTTGTACCACCCCAGCCATCTTCGGCCGCGGTACAAGTGTACGGTACCCATGGCTGATAGTGTTTCATCACCGCCGAAAAAGCCGGCAACACCTGCTGAATCTAGTGAGAATGGTGAGCCATGAAATGGGATCTGCAGGTGCATTGTTGTGGATGTTGTAGATAACGGTGAATCCACAGCATGCTGGGTAGGTCTTCAAATATCAGCCCTGCGTTAACTTACTAAGAGCTGTAGTCCTGGGAGAACTCGAATCGTCCTCGAGGCAGCCTTACGAAATAAGTATATTGATCATCTGACCCCAGGGCCCCGAAAGGCACTGCGAACTAATATATAACCGAGCGCTGAAACACCGCATCTTTGATGGACTACTAGTTCTGTCGCAATTACCAAGGACACTCGCCCCATTTGCGAAAGTTCTTGTGCAACTACAAAGACCATCCATCAGAAAGTAATCCGATCGGGCGCAAGTTTCTCAGGAGAAGAAAACCATTGCGCCCACAGGATACCATTAGACGCCAACTTTTTGGAACACGCTGATGGGCCTTTCAAACCTGTAGTTGTCACAATCCATCGAATTTTCGTACAGAATCGAATGAACTCGAACAAGTGTGGCGATTTAACGACATGAGTGATAATAATTCCAAAGCTCGCCTATCAAATCCCACCCCCAAATAGGCTGATAATAGCTACAGGAGGAGGTCCACCCTCCCGGAGCTTTGTTTGCCCACAATAAGCAAAGACGTATTTTGAGGGATGCCAGGTCACTGTAGGTGACGGTGCCAATGCGGGAACACGATGCAATGGGGCACCCGTCTCTGTTGCACACTATTGTGCCCAGATCGTGTTAAAAGCAGATAAATAGCTAGAAACTGAGTCCTTACTATGTCGATGTAGGGTCCTGTATTTGCAATAGCGAGGTACTCTCCATCATACGAGAAGCTCAATGCATTGATCGCATTTCTGAAGGAATCAAGTCAGTGGAGAGAGTGGCGTGTTTTAATCTACTCACTCGCAAGTGGAGATTGTCCGAGCGCATATCCATTCACTCAGATCGAACATGTTAACAATTGAGTCATAGCCACCAGATGCAAGATATCTGAACACAACGTTAATGCATGTCGATTAGAGCATGTGACCGTTAATACGCACCTCCCCCGAGGATCGAGTGCTACTGCAACACAACCTCCGACATGAGCGGCGGGGCTTTCTCTAAGGGTTAGCGTTGGGTAGTCCATGACCCGAACGCTATGCTCAGAATGATGCGTCAGAATTATACCATCGCCGACATGATTGAACATGGCGGTGGATGCGACAATGCTCTGTCGAAAGATGTCGATAACTTGTTACATGATGGAGACAATGTGGAACAAACCCCGTCCTTATCTGAGAGATGCCACTGCGCCTTTGTTGCATCACCATCTTTTCCGTATGTTAAGAAAAAGAGCTGGTGCCCGGCCGAAGTAAATATCAAAGCCCGGCCGTCTGGAGAATAATTTGTCTGTACGGGTGAGATTTTCAGAATTATTTGCTGCGTGTGCCGACTTTCTTGAGTTCTGTAAGGGTTATTCACAATGCGCGCAAGGCATATAAAACTTACGTCGTGCATCCCAAAATACAATCCTTCTGTCCTTCTGACTCGACGTGCAAAATAACTCTGGATGAGTGGGATTCCATGATATATAGTCAACATCATCGGAGTGACCGCCAGAGAAATGAGTTGCAGCTCTTGATTCCATCTATGATTGTGGTAAGGAGTGTGGCTCCTGATGAGATACAATATATGGTACGTACGCTAGTTTCTGGAGTCCAGATCCGAGTAATTTTGTCGATACCAACGCCAGCTAAACGCTTCCCGTCGCAACTCCATGCTACATGAGTTATAGCTTGAGGCGAGGGTATACGTAGATCACGCGGTTTATGCGCAGGAAAGTTTTGTGCCTGAATCAATGGACTGCATTAACAATGCGAGGTTCTTTGAGATGTGCAAGTCCTCTATACGCACATGTAGACCGCGAGCAGCGAATGTTGTATGAAGAGGGGGAGATGGTGGCCGTTGAAGGGGTGCTACTTCTTCTTCCTCCTTGCTGTTTACTTGACTTGACATTGATGATGCGACTGAGCGTATGGTGTTTTGACTCGGAGCCGGACTTGCAGACGTTGTTTGCCACTGTTAGGACCGACAAAGGAACAACCAAGATCATCTTTAATCCAAGTCTCAGAGTCTTCACCTTTTCAATTGCGCCATTTTTTTATGCAACTCACAGGAAGGTCTGCACCCAGTTACGACCTTTGATTTATGGTATATCATTATCGACGATGTTCGTTCCGTCCGGGTTTTGGATATGGACGTAGACCAATTAACTTTGCTTCTCATCAATCAGATTACTGATCACCGTTGTTGCCCTTACAATCGATCCAGTTCAGCCTGACTGAAACTAGAAGAAAATGACGTTGAAATATGTCTGGTTAGATGTAGATCCGGTGCGCAATTGACGATTTGCTCTCGTTTGGTGGAGATGTGCTGATGAAACGCTTCATTCAGGGACATGATGATGCCACTGCACTTATGATGGCCTGTCAATTAGAGAATATCAAGCTTCTTGGAGTATCCAGTGTGTGTAAAGCGGCTGTCTCCTGCACAAGTCCTTTTCAAGCAAGTTGCTTAGGTTCACGGCAATGCGTCCGCTGATTGCACTGCCAATAACACTGCAAGGTGTCTGCACGCATTTGCTGCACCTTCCGATGTTCTTGTATATCCTGGCGCATGCAAGCCGTTACTTCGACCCACAAAACACGACCCTGAAATTCATGGAGAAGATGGCCTAGGAGGTGTTGTAGGGCTCCCTTCAGCTGATAGTCCTGAAGTTAAGGCACGATTCGCTCGGAAAGTCGATGGGTCATTGATCCATGCCATCGAGGGAATGGCAACAGCCATCAAGGACGCATGGCGCAATGGTACTGGACATCAAGTATCAGTTGTTTCCTCTGGACCAATGACGAATATTGCCCTATTTGTCAGCGTCTATCCCAACCTCATGGAAGCAGTGGAGCAGTTTGTATTTATGGGCGGAGGTGTGGGCGTTGGAAATAGATCTGCCGTCGCAGGTATGTAACATGTGGTACTCGAAGAACCAATCTTTACAATGACAGTGCAGAGTTCAATATTATGTGTGACCGTGCGTGTCTTATTGAAATATGTTACGGTGCCTGTCTTGATCCTCTATTAGCTGAGGCGGCTCAGATTGTCCTCGATGCTCCAGTCAAGACTGTCATGATACCCATAAATGTCACACACACGGCGATTGTCACCTCGGCTATCCATTCCCGCCTGAGATCACCCCATCTACCTTTCCTGGATGGCGTGTTGGCACATCCGTCCACCAATCTCCGAGGCACTCTGTCTTCTGTCATTAGTTTCTTTGCAGGAACGTACAAGTCAACATTTGGTTTCGATCAAGGTCCTCCTCTCCATGATGCATTGACCATCACATATGTGTCCCATCCCGAGTTCTTTAGAGCTCAACGTTTCAGAGTGGATGTGGAGTTACATGGTAAGCACACGGCGGGAGAAACAGTCATCGACGTCTGGAATTATCGGATATGTGATGACTCATGGGGCTCTAATGGGAAGAATTGCGTTGTCGCCCAGTCAGTTCAGGTGTGTATTCGAACGTACAGTAAACCCTCTCTTCTCACAATATCAATGTCCCTAGGTCGACCAATTTTTTGAATTGCTTTTGGAATGCGTCTCCCGATGTGATGCCATATCTCCGCTCAACGTACAACAACAATGATAATTTACAGCACCCTCACACTTCTGATCGACTTGCGACCGTTCTCTACATCTACTCACGCTCTACTACCATTGCTGAAGATTTATTCTTTTCGTGTATTCAAACGCGATGCGCCTTATGACCAGTACATGTAAGATACCATTTCTGCCAAGACCCTGCCGCACCTATTGTATTAAGTTGAAGACCCCATAACAGTCGAGCGCTTTCAATAAGGTTGTTCTTGGTTAGTAATTACGTCCCGCATGCTGTGCATACACGCTTACCATCATAGCCTGGTGTCTGTCACAGAATCCCTGTCAAATCAACATCTCATAGGAATTGGGTAAAGTTAGTGATCGTGTGGATCTGCTGGCCGCCTTTTACAAGACATTGAATGGTTGTTCTGATGGCCGCTACGCAAACACGTTGTCATTGCCACCCGAGCCAGGATCATCAATTCATTAGATATCAGATAGGTTCCAGTTACCAATTACGACTCCATGACAATCATTTTCGTCCGAAAACTTTGTTCCTTGACGTCCGTGGGTGCTGCTAGATGGGGGCGTGATGCCGTTAGGCCAGACGAACGATGTATAAATACATGTCATCACGCCCTGTTACTAGACAGACGCACCTCTCATCCCTGACAAATTTGCCTTGTGCTACTCGCTATGGGCGTCGACAAAGCGTGAGTGTCATGGTTCCAGCATACAAGCCTATTTCAACTAACTGTGACTTTCAGTGGCAAAAAAACAAGGTCTGTCACGGTTTTGCGCGTTATAGATACTGCGATTCTGATTTATCCCCTAGTCGTTTCAACTTCATTCGCAAGTCGACATTACGAACTGCTGATGACAGCACTACCCAGGTGTTATCCCTGCTGCTTGTGTACGTGTCGTTGCTAATGTTTCAATGTAGGAACTTGAAGCCCCCGTAGACGGCATCGAGGATGACTCGACACCCGCCCCGGAAGGGGAAGAGGCGGGAGACACGCAAGATGAACCAGACACGCAAGATGAAACAAATACGCAAGATGAGACAAACACGCAAGACGAAACAAACGCACAAGACGATTTACCTGGTCAAGATTCCTTACCCACAGAATCCCTACAAGACGAATCGCTTCACCAAGATTCCTTGCCCATAATGGTGACAGAATCTCCGCAAGAGGATGCAGAAATGCAATCCATGTTCCCAACTTCTGACTCCCCCGCCCAAGAGTTTGCCAGCATTGCGGAGGTTGACAGAGCCGACAGCCCTGTCGAAGATCCCGAGGTTATTCTCAAGAACCTACAGGAGACTTTTCAGAACATAATCGACGATAAATTAGCGAACATACCCCTTCGCTTGATAGACACCCACAGCGGCATCCTATACACCAGCAATGACCTGGAGGTAATTTTCAAAGAGTCGGAGGAGTATCAACAACTCTACGAAAATCTCCTGACCACCTCCGTGTCGAAGCTTCAGCGCAGAGTTAACGAATTCTTTCGATATGCCATGCTTTCCCACAAGTGGGCAAGTGCGAAGGACGAGCCCCAGTATTGGCAGATCAAGGGCAGCGTCTACGAGATGGATGCCCCGCTGGAAATTCGCAAGCTGCAACAATTCTGTACCACCTCGAAGAGAGAAGGCTACCGATGGGCGTGGAGCGATACGTGTTGTATCGATAAGACGAACAACGCTGAGCTTCAGGAATCCATCATCTCCATGTTTGCTTGGTACAAGGATTCGGCAATCACTATCGTTTACCTTGCAGACGTCTCCGATATTTCGCAGTTGAAAGACAGTCAGTGGTTTAAGAGAGGCTGGACGTTGCAGGAGCTCCTTGCACCTCAGTCTATTCGATTCTACAAGCAGGATTGGCAGCCGCTCATCGATTCCGATAAGAATCACAAAGTTGAACTTCTATCCATTCTCCACGACATTACTCACATCGATGTCGATGTTTTGAAGACATTCGTACCTGGCGTCGACAATGTCAAGAAGCGGTTGAGTTGGGTGGGCAGCAGGACGACTAAAAAGATCGAAGACATTGCCTATTGCCTCATGGGTAAGCGTCGCCATAGCTAATGAATTGTTCTAACGCCCTTGCTAGGTATTTTCGGCATCCACATGCCTGTCATGTACGGGGAGAAACATAACGCCTTTGTGCGGCTTCAGAAGGAGATCATGGCGCTTACCGACGACCTCTCACTCTTTGACTGGTTGGGAGAGTCATCGACCCTTCACAGTTACTTTGCTGCGCATCCGAGGTGTTTCATGACTCCATCTTACGACGCTCGACAGGACTCCACTTCATCGAAATTCGAATTCAGGCTACTCAAAACTTCGAAGCGCATCACCAGTGGCTTGTCTTCTTCGGCTCTCAAAATTGTCAAGGACGTTTTGAGCAACCCGCCTCATGGACGTTTCATTGCGAATGGGAGAATGAGCATGCCCTTTTTCGTTCACGAAGTGGTCACCCTCATTCCAAACCAAGACAAACCCGGAATGCTCAGCTATCTCGTCAAAGCTGAGGGACTCTCGGAGCTCGAGATCATCGTCACACAGCGGCTAGTTCCTTTATACGGCAAGAACCCAAGTCACAAATACCGTGTCGTACGAATGTGGGACGCGAGTCTTATTCAACGTCCTGGAAGCATGAGCATCGAGGCTGCTGATGCCTCGATTGTTGATAACCCTGAGTCTCCGGAGCCACTTACGACAGAGGACTCCCCGAAGCAGGAAAAGGAAAAGGAGAAGGGGAAAGAGAAGGGGAAAGAGAAGGACAAAGATAAGGAAAAAGATAAGGATAAGGAAAGTTGGGTCGGCAGATCCAAGGATCTCGTCGCCGACTTTGTGGCCGACATGGTCACCAACAGCACTGCTGCTGCATTTATTCGGCGGCTGCAAGAGCCGTTTGTTGCTCAGCTGCTTTGTTCGCCTGGTGACAAGCAGCCTTGGCGGAGGGTTGGAACCACCATCCGCGTCATTGCTCACGCATCCTCTGGGTCCATTAATTTCAGGGCTCCCGAAAATGTTATCGTGCACTAAAACTTCACTACTGTCGCTAATACCCCTATGATTGTGTTGTCTATATTTTACAGCTACGATCACGAACTCTATACTATTCATGAAACTATGGTACCGTATCAAATTACTTGAACTCTACTGTACAGTGTGATAAAAAAATGCTAAGTTGAGAAACGTCCAGTGTCAATCTAGTGTCAAGACTGTCCATGTCAGGCTCCTGATTGGTAATCTCGGGTCACTAGGGGAAGACGGGGCATTAGGGGGTCCCAGAACTTTGTCAAGTAAGATAACGTATCAACGTTAACCACGACCGTCACGACGCATGGGAACAAGCAGAACAGAGGTACCGCTTGTACACGCGGCGGCGGAGGACCGAAATACCTCGTAAGACAAGCTTTTCATCATGCCTCCGTTTTTACACTACTCGAAACGCTGCCAATCAAGCTGCGACTCCGAACCTGCAATACCAAATATTGTTGGTATGCAGTGCGAGCATCCGAGAGCAAGTCGCCCAACAAGCTCTTATCGACATCGTTGAACGCAGCTATGCGGTTACCGCAAGCCTCGAGGTCAAGTGATTGCAAGCCGCCCTGCTTGCTGCTTCTCATCTGCTCCAAAACCTGTTCTCTCCAGACCGTCCATACGTGCGTGTCGTTCGGGATGAACTGTCGAAGGATCTCTTGTGGTTTAAACCCTCTGTTCCCCCAATCTTTGTGCTCGCAGTCGGGCTGAAGGGTTAGGCAAGCGAAAACAGCTGCGGCCGTTCTTGTGCCCAGTTTGTACGTCTTCATGCGATCCTCCGACAGAGTCAACGCTTGGACGAGCTGTTCCTCCTGCAGGTATTCCCCGTCCATGGACGACAAGAAGAGATTGTACGCCCATGACACAGCGAAGGACATTAGGAACATGACCTGCCCAAACAGTTTGCCCTGTGGTATCAGGAGCAACTGCGTCAGAAATTGAATGACTAGGAGGAGCGAGCAGAACCCGATCGCTGCGTATTCGTCATTGGTCTCGGCGTCTTCATCGTGATCCAGTGTCTCTGGCCCGGGGCCACTCTCTGCATCTTTTCTCCCAAACATATGGTGGAAGTCACGGATCCCATCCCCTATAATCCCGCGTTTCCTCCTCTCCTTCCTAGCTCGCTTACGGACCCAGGGCTCGTACTCCAAGTGAAACTTGCCCTGCGTGATGGCAAGTACATTCTTCTCTTTTCCACGGACGACGATCACATGATTTCCGTCCATCAGCATGCCATCGCCTGGCGGTGCATTTTTAGAAGAGGCGGCACTCTGGAGGACTATGGCCGCAGAGCCGATGACAAAACACGAGATGCCGTTGACGAGAATGCCGAGGAGGATCAAGGAGAAGCAATACCAGTCATCGCCCCACGCACAAAGTATGCATGTTGCGACGCTGGTAGCGATAGGGATCAATGCGACGTGTTTGTGGAAGCCATCTCGGGCATGGATGACCAAGCTATTTTCGGTACCAGCGTCGAACTTGATGTCTGGCATGTCCAAGATGGTAACTTTATTTGCCCTTGTCTTTCGTCCCTCTACTATCACGGCTCGTTGGTCTTTGCATTTCTGCATCAACAGGTATGCGAGGTGACCCGTTTGTTTTAGGAATGTGCCGGACTGGGATGCGACATACATAGGACCGGACTTTCCATCCAGCCCTATGTACGTGGTGGGCTCTATATGGGCTCCTGGAAACATTCCGTCCCAAAAACGAGAATTGGCAAGTCGGCCATAGTGCCTCCCGACACTGTAGCTGCCCGGGGAATTGAACCAGCCTGTCCACCGCCTTGCTCTATAGAGATGCACGGTCTCCATCGCGGAGACCGCCTCATCACCTCCAAAAAACCCTGCGAAGCCACCGACATCGAGGCTGAAATGATCAGTGTTTATCGTAACTGGGGGCATGATGATTTGTGAAGACGTCCTCGCGCGCAGCCGCTCTCCTTCATATAGAATTCGTAGCAGCACCCTGAGTCTGAGCTAGCTCGCTTCTTTCCTGCAAAAAAGTTCGAACACTGCCTCATGGCGTTAACAGAGTTCAAGACCCCAGGACACTCTATTACAACATTCTTCCTTTTGTTATCATCTGCCGGACGGTCCGGCAGCGAGGAAGCTCCACCGACATCTATGATGCATCATCTCGACAGACATCTAGTATGGCCCCCTCCCCACCTTTCTCTTACCGCCTGTGATGTTTCCTCCCGCCGTCTTTCATATCATGTATTGTTTTTTGTGAATTGCCATACATGAGTGATGAAATATACGTATCTGTCTAACTATAAGTTTCAGTCTAACCCTCGGTGAAGAATCCGTGTGCTTGAGGGCGGTGCTTAGGCCTCAGGAACCAACAGCGCTCAACGTTTAACATTCGGTTCCAGTTATTGCTCGAGTTAACAATGTCATTATATTCAAAAAAAAAAAAACGTTTAACCATATCATATGCGATGAAATAGATCAAACGTATATAGGTATGGGTAGTGTAAAGGGAAGAGATGAAGAACGCAGAACCAAGATGCCAACCAGGGATATCGCAGGCGGCAGCGCCAGCCTGAGGTTAGTGGTAGCACGAGACAGTCATGGTCGGGTGTACAACACCAGGTTCATGGGTCCGTGACTCCGTGTTGGCGTGCCAGGATAGAGAGAGGGTTCACGACGTTGCCCTCGGAGCGTGGAAGTACAAGAGGTCAAAGTGAGAAGTGGAAGACTGTAACAGGCCGCACCAGGTTAGCGGGAGCACGAGGAAGGTCCCGATTGGATATGTGGAGCAAGGAGCAAGGGTGGGGAAGGTCTTGTGTTGGAACTTGGCGTGTAGTATGAGGTGGCAGAGGTTGTCCTAGGGCGCAGGTACTAGTTGCGTCGATGGCAACGTCACATCGTCACTGCAGGATGTTGCGGAGGGTTGCTTGGATGTCAGAGCCGCGAACGACGGGAGGTCCGACAGGGACAGGGACATGGTTTGACAACGAGAGGAAAAAGAGTAATCGAGTTACGTAGCCGCCAGTCAAACGTCCTTGGGGTCCATGCCAGGGCTAAAAAGACCGGCTCCAGAACCGAGCTAGTTCGACGCTCATTGATGAAATCCGGTTGTGCTGGCAATAGCTTTGGTTCATCATGCCATCATCGACCGTAACATATCACTCATGTCAGTGCTTCAGTGATTGTCGACCGCGTCACAGCCTGATCTGACACAACCTTACCTTGATGCCGTAGTGTCGGCAACCTCCAAGATATCCGACTTTGATTCTGGTACACGGACACTGGCCACATATTGGAGTCCTTTCAAGTTGTCGAAACTCTGCAGGCACTCATGTTACAGACCATGTGGTATTTCACATTTTGCCAAGACTCAACACAGAAACCTCATTATGAAGGCTGATACTTCTCGGAAGATGGAAGTCCAGGTGATGTAGTGATTCTTTTCTGCTACTCGGACTACCATATCCGTGACCTCGGCAGGCATCAGTGGCAAAGATTGAATATGGGCCGCGTCCGTTGCTTGAATTACTGTCTTTTCCCCATCTCATCATTATTTTGATCACAGCAATCATCATTGTTTGACTGTAGTCAACTCATTGCGGGCTATGAATAAGTCGTACTGCCATGCAGGCATGATACGTACGCCTCATATTGATTAACAATCGACACTGATCACCTCGCTACTGAGCGGCCTCAGGGACGGGACAATTGAGTCTTGCCTCGATGTATCAATATCGTGCACCACCCACGTCGCATCTCTTGGGTGGGCAGATCAAAGAGCATGTTGTTGAACTCGTCAGACGCTGTGAAAAATGCAGCTTGATCTCAGCACTCCATCCCACGGCTGCTGATGAAGGAAGCCAGAGCGGTTGACAGCGAACCATCACATCGATCAAGATCCTTATTTGTGAATTAATCATTCTACACCTCGTGTATCTAGTATATATGGGTAGAAGTAGCTCAATTAAATGATATATTCCCTGTACATATCATCATCAATCCAATCCCAGTGGCGCGTAAATTGAATTAAAGCGCCAAGCCAACTATTACGAGAGCTCGGGTCGTCCATCAAGAAATATCTTGTTCGCACCCGTGATGGAACGAGGAGGTCTACATCTCTTACGACCTTCTCTCAAACTGCGCATCGCTTCTTCCAGGTTACCGCGTCCAATAGATGCCGAATGCTCGGTAGAGGGTATGGGTAAGTCGTGTGAGGGATCATGTCGTGCCTTGACGATCTGCATGTCAATAATCCGTGGAAATGCAGAGCTGTACAACGTAGGTCCTCTTACCTCTTCGGAGCTACTTTGCGACACCTTCCCCTGAGCCAAGGCGGGGACCTTCTTCTGTCTATCGTGAATTTCCAAAGCGGCTTTCTGGCCGGTAAATTGAATCATAACTCCACCGGATCTATAAACGACGCGTACCTGTAATGATGATGAAAATGAACAGATCATCCCAAAGAAGTCATCTGGCTTCGGTCCTTCTGGTGAATTCAGGTCTTCGCCATAGTAAGAGAACAGAGCTCGTAGGTCTGTTTCGACGAGCACAGCCATGTTATTGAGCGCGTCGACGCGTTGTGCTACTTCAAGCGTAAATGGCTAGTGTTTATCAGGCATCAGCACGCGAGCTCCTTTAGAATTGAGTAGTATTCACCTGCATGATTGTCACGAATTGGTCATTATCGGAGGGTGTGCGAATCTGCTTTAGCAGACTTATTTCTTCTTTAACCTTGTCGAGCGACGTAAGTAAAGATTGGACGTTCTGTTGTAACGTGGGGAAGGAGACTAAGGCACAGCATAAGATTATCCCCAAAGATATCGGATGAAATCATCACTTACTGCGAGCAGCAGATTCCACACTAGGCATCTCATCGATAAAAAGTGTAAGCGACGGATCAGTGCGAATGAGGACTCGTGCAACATAATGCAAGAGAGTAGGGCATTCCGAGGTGCCTTTCGCAGTCCTCGTTTCCTTCATCTGCGACGTAATGCACATCGACAACATCGTCAAGAAAGCGTGTCGCCGACTTACCTTTACGAGCGCCTCCAGGCGAAACCCACAGGCACCTCCACGAAAGCTAGACCCATTCAATGCGTTCCCAACTGCGAGTATTGCCTAGAATCCTTGTCATCACGACTGAGTGGTGGATTCGGCAACGAACGCACCCGTAATGTCAGCTTGAAACGCACAGATGCTCGTAATTCTTTACACGCATCATGAACGGTTTTTAGATCCGGACGGATTTCCTCGATCTCGAGTTCCAGCTTTTGGCGATATATCATGCACTCCAGCCGCTGCGGGAGTCTTGGAATCGTCATAATCTAAGACGCTGACTTGAGTTGCAAGTCATGGAGTCATAAGCAGCACTCACGGCACTTAAATATTGATCGGCCTTCGCTAGCTTGCTCACATCTTGAAAATCTTTCATACGAGCAACCTTTTCAAAGACATTTAAGAGTCACGGTAGAGCGAAAAGGCAGTCAGTGATGACGGACCTCTTCCGGAGATGGTAGCTGCTTGCTGATGGCTTTCAAGTCATCGATAGACAGTTTGTCATTGAGTCTCAGCAGAGCTTGGCTGATTTCAAAAGAGGTCATTTTAAACCGCGAAAGCATGATAGCTAGCGAACGCAAGTTGTCAGTTGCCTTATGACGGTTGTAATATAAACCAACCGATGTTATTAGCGCGAGTAATATCAAGAAGAGTTGTAACACTTTGTTTTCGAGTGGGATTTGCGGCTTTGGAATGCGAGGTTGGTGTATTATCAATTGTGAACGTTGCTTCAAGATCATCTAGCTTGAAATCCAGTGAGTTTGACGGTTCCTCCCATACTGTGGCGCTGCAATTCTGATCATTGATTTTGGTCCAGAAGAAGGGCTTCAGTCTTGGCCCAGTGGGTTTTGCTTTATTTCCTATCCTGATTGCAGATCCACTCGGTGGGGGCGGAGGTGGAACTCCTGGGGGTCTTGGTGGAAACTGGAATGATGAAGCGTTGAGCGGAGGAGGCAGCGGGGGTGGAGGTGGTGGAGGTGGAGGTGACGAAATTGCGGAACCTGAAGAAGGGAATGATAGGAGTGGTGGTGGCGGAGGAGGAGGAGGGGGAGGGGGAGGAGGGGGAGAATGAAAGGTCATCTGACTGATGTCCTTCGACTCAATGGTGAGGGGCTCTTTCCGATTTGGAACAGCCCACGGAGAAAGAGGTGGTGGAGGTGGAGGGGGTGGAGGAACGCCGGTCGCGTTCAATGTTGTGCTTACATCTATTTCTTCGGGCGTTCGCACAAAAATCGCTCTAGATTTGAAACCTTGTGGCGGAGGTGGAGGGGGCGCATTCCTTGACTTGAACTCGATTTCTGACATAGATGTCGAGGTCGCAGCCAATAGCTGCCTGAGATTTGAAACCTCTGTCTTCAGTGCTATTAGTTCGTTGTCTCGCTTGGCAAGATTCTCAATGGTGCGGGTCGCAATGAGTTGGGCGTCCATGTCGGAAGCTCTTTCCTCTTGCCTCGTTTGAAAACGTGAGTAGACTGATTCAAGAGCTCGTTTGAGGTACACAACCTCCTTGTCTTTGGTGGAAAGAGCATCACTCATTTTACTCAGCTGATTCATAATCAGCTGCGCCACATAGGTTATGGATGAGTAACATGCCTGAAGCTGCAATTTATTCATTTCTTCATGGAGCGAGTGAAGCCTTGCCCTTTCGCGCTCTTTCCTTGCTTGGTCCTCCTAAATCAAATGGATAAACAGTTGTTCAGCGAAGTGAATTAATATAACCCACAACATCGCGCGCGTTATTCGAAATTTGAGAGTTCAAGCGCTCAAGTTCCGCCTGTAGTTGGGTAGCTTCCTTCTCCTTCTGCATCAGCCGTTGAACAAGTTTGTTCTGTCGCAGAATCGGTTTGACCATTACCACTGATATAACAGTATTC